CGAGCACCCGGAAGAGCTGTTGACTCAGCGAGCGCAACAGGCGGCCGCGGAGGGGCACGGGGCGGTGGGGACGAGGCCGGGATGGACAAGCTGAAGAAGGTGCTGAGCGGGCAGGACGCCGAGGACCGGGGCGGCCTGTCCGAGGTGAGTGCGCCCCGGCGCTGGGCCGCGCCCCCGGCCCGGGCCTCGGATGCCCGCGGGGTCCGGGAGACTCCGGGCAGGACTTCCAGGATTTCTTGGAAAGCAGCTCTGCCCCGTCTCCTCCGTCCTCCCCTGCAGGGCTCAGCGAACACCCCACCACACTGGCCGGAACCCGGGCACTTTGCGCAGGGCCGTCGGCGCCCGTGTCCTTTTTTGTCCTGCGCCCCTTCAGCCCTCCCGTCCCATCCCCCATCTAAAGAGAGGGCGGCGCTGGAAGAAAACCCCAGAAACATCTGCGAGTGCGAAGGCGGGTTTCGAGGCTGTCGGCCCCATCCCTGCAGACCAGAGAAAGCACTTTAGGGCCGGGCTAGGCCGGGGTCCCGAGAGCCAGGCGCAGGGAGTCCTCGCTGGGTAGGTCGCCTGGGCGGGCAGGGGCGACGGGGGCGGCGGTGGCTTCCCCGGCTCGCTGCCCACCTCGCGGCTGGGCTTGTGGCCGCGCCCCTGTGCTCCGCGCTGGGTTACTGCTCGGTTTAGGTTGTGGGTGTGGCACTGCCACCCGACCTTACGCCATCGCCGTGGTTGTAAAACTGTCACCCCCACGAAACCGTGAACTCCCCAAGGGCGAGGACCACAACTTGTTTCTGCGTCCACCCGTCCGCAGGTAGACTCTGTAGACACCCAGTGCCTCCGGAGACTGCCTGCATGTTTGTTTGCTTTATTAGAAAGGTTTCGATCGAGCTGAAATCCGGTCACTAATGCCTGTGTTTTAGAACCACACAGAATGATGTACTTCTATTCTGGGTGCTTTCAGCTTTTATTTTCATTTTCCTTTCTGGATGACAAAACAACATTTCTATTTACTTTTTGGTGTATTCCTTAGCCTCAGTTTCCTCATCTGTAAAATTGGGGTGGTGGATAAGATGGTATGGCCACTTTCCACAGGATACCTGAGTTTTTCCTCTAACTTGAGTCGGTATTCCTCGTGGTTTTCTCTGCATGATGCTTTCACCCACTTTTGTGGCTTCTGATTTCATTCTGAGTTTTGTTTCGTATGATAATGGTATCTCCAGCACCTCTGAAATCTCAGGATGTAAAACTTGCTCTCTGAATCTTCATCTTGAAGGAGTAACACTATAGGAATCAAGTTTTATATGAATTGAGGTTTAACATTTTTTGACATTTCAAAACAACTTTGTGAGTTCTTTTTAATTTGTTGCTTTTATTAATTGGTCAAGGCTCAGGAGTAATTTCATGGGTTCTCCCTTCTTGATTTCTGGTCTCTATTATAAATTCAAGTCGAACCTCAGACTGAACCTAGGTTCTGACACTTAGGTAGTTGACCCTCGTTACCTAGAGCTTTATGCTCCTTAGACAGTCAACAAGCTTTCATGAGCAGTGAGGCCTAAGAGGGAGACACTTTATTTTCATTAAGACTCTTGGGGAGGTGGAATGTTGATAGTGGGATGATGCAGCTATTAAACATTTAGAAAATACTCATGAAGCAGTGGACAGATACTCAAAATCAATGATGTAGTACAATTTGAAAACATAAATGTGGAGTTTTTTATCTGAGATAGTGAATGCCTGTGTTGGGTACAGTGAGGTGCTTTATAACATGTAAACGCAGGCACGCATTAAATCTATTTTAAAAAGAGTATGTGCTTCTCTCTTGTTCTACAATATTGCTGTCAGTTTTCTCTTTCTGAATGAGATTCCTGTTTATATGCAACATTGTAGGCACTTCCGGAGTCTTGAACTCCTGGGAAACATTTTGTAGCCGATGACTTCATTTTCATGGCTGTTTTAGCTTAGTTTTTACCTACTAGGTTAGGGTCTCCTTTAAAATGTTTGTGCTGACTTGATCCTCTCACATTTTCCATGGTTTTGAGGCTGGCAAAGCTAGAGGATTCTGTGGTGAAATTTGTCTTTTCTTGTGGTTAGTTGGATTAGGTGGCCTAAAAATCTCTTCAAATTCAATTATATAACCTGTCTGAGGTCACCAGAAGTGAGTACTCTTAAACATTTTTTGTTCTTTTAATGCAAACCCTAAAAGTATGACTTTATGTTTCTCCCACCTCTCTTAGGTAGTTATAAACTTTGCATGGCATGTCTAATCGTAAATAGCCTCATGATGAGTGTTCTGATTGATACCTCATCTTCATAAATGCACCTTAAGTCTTTAGTTTCAGTGAACTTCTTTCTGAAACTGTAGGTTTTATGTTTTCTATAAAGGATTCTAGGGACAAGGAGGGTATGAATGGTGCCCGATTTTAAAGTGCAGGGATGAAGCAGTATTCCTTTCTCACTTCTGGTTACCAGTCCTGATTCCCAGAACAATTCTTACTTTTACTTCTTGGCAAGAGTCCCTCTTCTCGCCACATTCTGGTGTCAAAGGGACCTTTGTGCATAACTGCCACTTAGCTTATGAGCACATTGCCTGTGAATTCTGTCCAGGTACTATATTTTAGCTACTCTAATTTCCAAAAAAGTGCACTAGATTGGCTTCCAGCAACAGAATTTATAGAAATATTTTACATCAACTGAGTTTGTTTTCATAAATTGGCAAGAAGCAGTTTTTTGCTTTCACTGAGTCCAGTTAGAAGAAGTGGAACAACAGCTTCCTCTTTCCCTGACCAAGCGTGCATGTGAAAGAACTTGCAATTGTAGTGGAAAAATAGTGGAAAAACACAATGGTGAGATTCTCCCCCTGTTGCCAATTTTGGTGGAAAAAGGTAACATTTGGGTGTATTAAGCTTGAGAAATTTGCAGAACCAAAGTGTCGCTTTCCTTTCTGAAAGTAGACATCAGGTACATGTTTTTGGTGGAACTGCTTCTCCTTGCCAGTGATTTTGATTTTTATGAGGGCTGGAATCTCACTGTTCTATTGAGACTGTTTAGCATTATAAATGCCAAGGCCAATTCAAATTTTGTACTTAACCTATGGTTTATCTTGTTAAAAAAAGAAAAAAAAGAAAAAGGTTGAATCTTTTTGAATATCCCTGTTGATGCCAAGTAGTGCTCAGACAACGAATCCAAGCCAGTCCTACTACCACTCTTTCTCCCTACTTGCGACTCCTTTTTTCTTTTTCTTCCCACCCTGGTAAAGTAAGTTCTTTGCATGGGTAGGAAGAGTTGTAGCTTTTCATTTTATTCTGTCCTTGAGGGGAGGTTAAAAAGGTTAGTTAGAAGTGGTCTCATTGTCTGGGGCCCAGGAAAGCCTGGTAACAGAGCATCACATGGCTCATTTTGGAGCCCAAGAGGGTTTAAGAAACCAGACTCCTCAAGAAGGAGAGGTTTTCCTCAGTATAGAACCAGATGGCTATCTGTCAGGTCCTTACACCTGCTCCCCACTGCATGTTACCATCCCGAAGTGTGCCTTCTATGCAGGGTCGCGCTGCCACAAGTTGATGCAAATTCTGTGTGTGTGTGTGTGTGTGTGTGTGTGTGTGTGTGTGTGTGTGTTACCATCCCGAAGTGTGCCTTCTATGCAGGGTCGCGCTGCCACAAGTTGATGCAAATTCTCTGTGTGTGTGTGTGTGTGTGTGTGTGTGTGTGTGGGTGGTATTGCAGTGTTATGAGCCCATTTTCAATATGTGTGAATATATGGGGGTAGGAAGAGAACCCTTTTTGATAACTTGACCTAAACACCTTTCTCCTGAGTGGAGATTAAGCCATTCTGTAGCAATACCTGCCACACCTGGGGGAGACTCTTGTCCTTCTCTTCAAGCTTCTGGTTTGACAGGTAGTATGGAGACAGGGTTGAAAACAGGTCCCTGAGCAGGATGGAATCAAGGCTGAGGGATTTGCTAGTCTTGCACTCTCTGTCACCACCTAGCTTCCTCCATTAGACGAGTGGAAACGTGGCAGGCAACTTTGGCCAAATTGCCGGATGGAGGCTGTGGTGGCCACACAAGGTGAGCCGTGCATGGAATATACACAGGGCCTGGCTGCCTTGCCTTGACTTTGGTCTTTCAGTGGCAACTATCTGTGTCCAGTATGGAGCAGCTGTGCTGACTTGCATCGGGTGGACAGACCGGGAAGGTCTGGTGCAGAGGCTTGGTTATCATCTTTGACATGGATAAAGAACCATTGGGAGATATTCATAGGTTCTCCTGTTTAGTAGAGTTTTTCAGAAGTCTTTGTTTCTCCTGAACTTTACTCCGGGGAGGGATTATTCATGATGGCAGAGAGTCAGGATAAGCAGGGCAGTAATTAATTAACCAGGATCCGTCTCACACTTGGGTGAATTGGCTGATGTAAATACATCTGCACCAAGAGTGAATAACATGGTTGAGAGTCCTGACAAGGATGAGAGCCTTAGCCCTCTGAGGACCCAGAAATGCTGCAGGAGCAGCAATTGCTGCAGCTTGGCTGGTTGGCATAGCAGAGGATGACCACTTGTCCCAGCTGCCTGAGTATTGTCCCCTCATTTTTTTCCTATTTCCTGGGACCCTGCCTGGTGGATTTCATGCCTTTCCAGTTGTGGCCCTTGTCCTGCCTGGGCTGTGGTGAGGCTCTGGGCTACTCTAGGGTCTCTTGCTTGTGAAATGGATTGTGCTTGAGGCAGGGAGTCTCCACTTCTGGAGATGTTCATACAGAGGCACAATAAGGTCTTAGCTGCTGGAGAGGAGATTCATGTCTGGATAAGCACTCACAGTTCTGATAAGAGCTCTGAGTGTGTAGGATTTCATGTTCCCTGCCTACAAATTAACACTGCTTCTAAGTTTAATTATGTGCTTCTTTTGGTTTTAGTAAATATACATATTTATATATGTAATCAGTTTTTTAAAATTTCAGGTTGTTGAGGCATCTTCATTAAGCTGGGGTACCAGAATAAAAGGCTTCATCGCGTGTTTTGCTATTGGAATTCTCTGCTCACTGCTGGTAAGATTTTCCTCTCTTCTCTATCATTTCCCCCTACGCTCCTTTGTTATATCTTTCCCCTCTCATTTACTTCCTTTTCTCTTGCTGTTCACTAAAATGCGTGGATAAGGGGAGAGAGAGAGATGAGGGAAGATGGAAACAGGCTCCGCAGGGCATCTGTCCTCTGTGAGCTCCTGGGCATGTGGCTGTGGTAGGGTAGGTTGTTCATGTGTAAATACTGTCCTTTAAATTCCAGGGTACTTTCCTGCTATGGGTGCCCAGGAAGGGCCTACACCTCTTTGCAGTGTTTTACACTTTTGGTAACATCGCATCAATTGGGAGGTAACTTTTTCTTTTTATCTAACCTTTGCCAGTCATTAGATGGGAAAATGGATGTGGATTGTGCTTGAGGGAGGTGGAGGAGGATGCTCCAGTAGTTTTAAGGATTTAGAGAGAAAAGAGGGAGTTAGAATATATCACATTCATATCCAATTATTTCAAAACATTTTATATCTTAGTTTTCTTTGAGACACCCCTGGGAGAAAGTAGGAAATATATTATTGTTGTGATTTTACTTTTGAGGGAACTGTGGCACAGAGTGGTTGAATGATTTCTCCAAGGTTTACAAAACATTCATCTCCATTGCTGTAGTCTTACTACTGAGACTGAGCTGATGGTTTTAAAGGGGCTCACCAGGCCAGTGGCTGTAAGTAAAACTGGGATTAGTGTTAGACCATCCCGGACCAGAGTATCAGCTCAGGTGGGCAGGGCAAATGATGGAGTGCTTCCCCCTCATGTGGGCAGCCCATTCTACATGCTGCAGGTGCACAAACATGCCAGGCCACGTTCATTCACTCTAATGCTTCCACCACACCTGTGCTGACAGTGCCAAGCCTGCCTTTCCATCTGGGAGCACTGGTCTGGCCTCTACCTGAATGACCTGTAGACGTATGAACTCAGTTATCTTTCCTCCCCCTTCCCCCTTCCCTTGATTTCTGTAAACAGCTTCAGAGTCCTGGGGGTCCAAGTTCTCCAAACCCCATATTACTCATCAAGGATTGGTGTTGATCTCTCTTACCTGGATCCTTTCTCTCTGTCCCCGTGGCTCTTTGTCTCTCACTGATTGACTTACAGGCTCAATGCATAAGTATTGATCACACTCTGTGCTGGGTTCTGAGGATACAAAGACAAATACAGTTTGGTCCCTGCCGCAGTGGAGCTCACTGGTCACCCAGGCAGAAAGACATTTAAGTGGATGACACAGCAGGATATGGAAAGAGAGATGCTCAGGGAAAGGTAGCTGACCTGATCTGACCCAGAGAGGCAGGGAGGGCTTCCTGGAGAAGGTTATACCTGAGATTGTCTTAGCTTTGGTCCGCATCACCTCTCACCTGAACTTCTATAAGATGCCTCTGTTGGGCTTCTTTGCCTCCTTTCTTGGTCCTCTCTAGGCCATGTTCTGCTGAGCTCTGGGGCCATTTGTTTATAGTTCTGTCTAAGCCCTTCGAGTGGCTCCCTGTTCCTCTCCACAGGTGAAGCCCGGACTCCTCTGCATGTGTACAAGCCAGGCCCTTCGAGATCTGGCTTCACCCCAGTCTCATTCTCCAGCCAGGCTGAACTTCTCATATTTCTCCAAACATTTTTGTACTTTTGCTGGTGCTGTCTTCTCTGCCTGGAGTGTTGCCCCATCTTTTCCTCCCCCAGTTTGGTGGGTACTTGCTCATTTGTCAAGACCTGGCTCAAAAGTCACCTCTTCTGTGAAGCTCTTCCTGATTACCTCCTCTTCCCCAGAATTGATGACCTTCTCCTTTGGGGCTTTCTGTGTCCCATCTATATTTGTGTGACAGCACAGGCAGCATCTTACTACACCTTTTGAGTTCCATTCATATAGAAGGTGTGCTAGGGATGTCTTTTGGAGCTTCGGAATTCAGTAGATGTGGGTTTGAATGCCAGTTCTTTGGATTCCTAGCTGTGAGATCTTGAATAAGTAACTTCTGAGCTTCATTTTCTCATCTCTAAAATAAGTGCAATAATACCTAACTCACAGTTGTTGAGGGGACGAAATGAGGTAGTTTATGTGTTATCTGGCATTTAGCAAACATTCAACAAATAATAGATGATGTAATAATCATCATTAGAATTATTCCCTGGAGATTATGAAAGAAAAAGAAATGTATTACTTT